GAAACATTGAAAGCTGTTTCTGGGCAGAGAAAAGTGTGACATCAGTACAGACCCCAGGTTTTCTGTTGGATATCTTTACCTGGATGTCCCACAATATTCTCAAAACTAACCTGTCTTCAGACAATCTCATAACCTTCATCCACAAACTTATCTTCCTCCTATTCCCCCTCTCTTAGTGAGTGGCACCGTCATCCACATAATTGCCTATCCAGACACCTGGGAGTCATCTTAACTGCTCCCTCTCCCACACATCCTGGCTGTCCTAACATTCCATAGGTAGACAAAGCCTGCATCCTCTCAAAACTGTCATCTGCTATTTATCCCCACTGCTGCTCTCTTATTCCAGGACAGTATTGTCTTGGGAGTTCCAGGAAGGAGAAAGACAGTCAGCCCCAAATAATATAAGTAAACTCAAAGTCACTTTCCATAATACCTCATCCCCAATCCTAGTCCCCTCCCAAAGGTGAGTACTGACTATTGCTAGGAGTTTGATGTGTAAGCCTTCTGTTTCTATGCCTTTTCAGCTGTATCCCTGTACATACAAAAATATATGACTGGTTCACATAAATGTTCTACATAAAATATCCTGCACTTAAAAATTTTACCCAGCAACTATCTTGAAGGTATTTCCATGTAGGTATAAATAAATCTTTTAAAATCTGTCTAGTATTCCAGGGTGGAGGACATCTGTCCTTTTGCCAGAACCTTGATTTTCCCTTGGGAAATCACCTCCTATACTATTTGTTCATGTGGCTGAGCACCTTACCTGTTCCCTTCAGGAGTGGGACTGTGATCCACATCAGGCCAATCCATGCCACAGAATGGTCTAGGCATTGGATGAGTGCCCCAATCTGAGCCAATGAAGGTCATTGCTGAGGCATTTTGCTGGTTGCTAGGCTGCAGGCATCCCAGGCTTCCTGCTGCCCTTATGTCTACAAACTGTGGTCTGGAACATTCCAGGAGCCACTTTTATCACTTGCAGCAATCTTCTTCAGTGAGTTCCCCAGGACTTGATTTCATCTTACAATCTGATTCCATGTGTCTCCCATATTTTAAGGATTCTTTATAATTTCTGGCTTACAGAGAACAAACATTATTTTTTGTTTTCCTGGTCTGTTTTAGATCTCCAAAAATAACTCTGTCACTTCTGTTATATGGTATCATTACTTGTAATTATCTATTTACTTATCTGTCTCTGGACTGGACTCTTGACAGACAGGCAATAACTAATTATCTGCCTGGCATTTGGTAGTCACTCATAAATGGTTTATTGCATTACTAACTAAATAAAAAAGTTGACCTTGCATTCACCTCTTCTGGATAGTTCAACAGACTCTAATGCTTTTTGAAGTACAGTTTTTATACTAGCTTACAGTGGATTATTGTTCAGAAAATATTTACTCCCCCTAACAGAATTATGTGAAAGAAATACATTTCTTCTTCCTTGATGTTAACCTTGGACATGGGACACTCCTGGGCCAGTGGTATGTTAGTGGACAAGATGTGAGTGAAGACTCAGCATGTGCATGAGGGTCAGACTTGCCATCTCACGCAACTGCTTTTCTCAGTGAGAAGAACTTTCCTCAGAAAAATGCTGGTTCAGGGAGGATGAGAGACACGTGGAACAGATTTGGACCCAAACAATAGCTGAAAGCCAAGTTCAGGCTAGATAAACTGAACTAAAGTTTATCTCCATGTGGACGAGTGAGAGATGCTTATTTTCTGCCACTGAGATTTAGGGGGTGAGGGAGACGTCATGACACAATATTACTATGGCAATACCAGCTGAAGCACACCTACATCAGAATCACCTAGAGTGCTTGTTGTGAATGTGGTTTCTGAGCCCCAATCTAGGTCTAGTAAGTGATCATCTCTGGAGTGTTTTTAGAAATGTATATTTTAGCAAGACCCTCAGAAAACTTTTATGCTCACTGCTGGGCTACAGACAATATTTATCAGCATGCTATTTTCAGTGACAAGGAAAGAGCAGTAGGTTAGCACCCAGAGAGCTGCTACATTTACCTACATAAAACTTCTGAGAGATGTAGCACTGTAAAAAGGACAGGAAACAAGGTTTTCTTACCAAATCATTTAATTAAAGGAGAGAAATTGAGAAACATAAAGGCACCTTGAGGTCATTTATAAACGCAGTGTTGCTCAAAAAGCTGTTCTTTCATACAGGTACATAGTTGACATCATTTACTTAAATTTGAAAAAATTAAAACTAATCAGTCTGAGAACATCAATGGCAACACAATATTCATTAATTGAACATGGCAACATAACATTCATTAATTGAACATGTATTTAGTAAGGGCTTACTAAATACTAGGAATTCTGGAGAACACTAAAAATATCAAATATGCATAAGATAGTGTTTGTCTAGTCTGTTTTCCTTTGCTATAACAGAATACCACAGACTGGGCAATTTATAAATGATGGAAGTTTATTTGGCTCATGGTTCTGGAGACTGGGAAGTCCAAGAACATGGCACTGTCATCTGATGAGTCATCTCATGGCCAAACAGTAAAAGGGCAAATGAGTGCAAGAGACAGAGAAAAATTTGTGGTCAAACTTATTTTTTTATCACAAGCACAATCCTATGAAAACTAACCCACTCCCATGATAGCAATATTAATCCATTCAAAAGGGCAGAGCCCTAGTGACCTAATAACCTCTTAAAGGCCCCACCTACCAATACTGTTATATTGGCAGTTAAATTTTAGCATGAGTTCTGGAGGGGACATTCAAGCCATAGACATATTTTTACCCAAAGAATTTCCAGTCTACCTAGTCATGATCCCTCTGTGTGCAGGTGTGGGTGTTTGGGAGTTCCAAAGAAAATAGGTTATGCCATTCTTGCCTTCTAAATGTTGCATGGAATGTCTTTATCACCTTTCTGATCATTTTTTCTCTTTGGAACCCACCTTGACTCTTGTCTCATGGGGGAATTATTTAAAGTAGATGGCAAGACAAAATTATTTCTCCCTTTAGCTCTGAATTCACCTAAGCACTCTTCTCCCAGAATGCCTCCTAAGTGTACTGCATCGTGCCAGGAAATTTCACCACTCAGCTCCCATGTAGGAGGCCAGGGCTCCTGAACTCGGGCTCTACAGTTTCATTCTGGGTACAAGCACTGCTAATGAACAAGAAACATTGCAGTGTAGCACTATTATAATCACCCTTTCAGTTCATAGGACCCATGTCTTGAGAAAGCATTTTCAGTAGCAGATGAAATAAGAAGATTGAAATTCATAAGGAGTCTTACTCTGTGATTAATATGTTGTAGAAACAAATATTGATTTCTTGTTTGTTCATCTGAAGTTTATCTGCTAACCTCAGAAGATAGTTTACTGAAGTAACCTTTGGTCACTGACAATAGAGAACACCTAATGTACTTACCTTTTTTTCTAACAATATAACATCATGTACCTAGTGATAGAGGCAGGAGGATTATTCTCTGCCTCCTCCCACTTCAATTGCCAGCATATCCTAATTCTTCTTAGACACAGGACAAGAGCTCAGGACCCACCAAACATGGGTACAAAGAAGGCTGTAACAGTGGTGGGGCTGAGCCAGCCTCAGAGCCATAGGCCAAAGCAGGGCAACAGGGTTGACAGAGCTGTTAACATGCCGCCATCCACCTGGGCAGGGTTGTCACCAGCCAGGGGTCTCCAGCTGGTAGAATGACCAAGAAGAATCCTGCGTCACTAGCAAATTGCCCTGTGATGTATTTCACATTACTCATCCAAACCAAGGCTTTGTCCTGTGGGACTCAACTTCTAAAAAAAAAATCTAGATTCATATCATAAGGATGTCATCCTTATATAAAATTATAGAAGAGCCCTTGCTTTCTGAGCTGTCAGAGACAGTACTTCCTAACATACAAATTGCCTTCTAGCAAGATTTGAAGCAGACATTCTTTTCCCAACTACACATGTTTTGCTATGACATTTTACAAAAATAAATCCCTCAATAATAACCAGAGATTGTATTGTTTTGTATTTTATTTATAGTACAGTAATACTAGTAGAGTTATCTCTCTTTTGAATATTATCATTAATCTCATTTTTTTCAAGTCATGTTGAAATAATCAATGCAGTTAAACATTCCCAGGTAGACTCCAGTAGGGTTTGATTTTTTAATGTAATTTAAATTCGGTTACAAAGTGTTTCACTGAAATGCCACTTACTGGTTTGTGGCTTAAAAAGTTCCTTCTTGGTGACAGCTTAGAAGCCAACTTCACTGAAAACAACAGATTGTACTAGTTTCCTTTAGATATTTACAATACTTCATCAAACTAGAGAATCTAATTGCTGCGAAGGGCACTCTAGAGATTACTCAATCCAGCCCCATTATTTTGCGAATGAGGAGAATGAGGTTTACAAGAGAGAAATGGCAGCTGAACTACAGTTACGCAAGTAGTTAAGAGGCAGAAGTGAGACCAGCAACCACTTTCCTGACTCCTGATCCATTCACAATTTTATTTATAAATACTCTTACAACACTTTCATTGCTTCCAGTGTGAGTCAATTTTTTATAGTGGATAATCTGGAGAATATAAACTTAAAATACTTGTGTTATTCTTTTACTGTTTCTCCCTTTGAAGTACTAATACATTTAAGACCTCTTCCTTCATGACCCCAACTTTTCCCCCTTAGTAGTCATTATTTAAAAAGGAACCACTAATGACTTAGAAAAACTTGCATGGATCTCTGCATTGTTGGCTTTATCCAGAAAAAGCTTCCATTCAAATAAAAGTAATGTTGTGGGGGTGGTCTGAGAGAGACCTGGAACACTAATCTCAATGTTTGAACATGCTATTGAGTACATAATATCCAGCCATGACCCAAAATCCTCTCTGCCTAAGCCACTATAAAATAGTTGCACATAATTTACTCAAGTGAAATTCTTTGAACAGTTGTTAGGGCAGGAAACTTAACACTCCAGAATAGTGACAACAGCGGTGGTGGTATAACAGCTGGGGGTCACAGGCTTACCATGATGCAGGTCCAGCTCTCAAGTTACCATCTGATCTGGGTCCAGCAGCAAAGGCCTAGAACAATAAACACCTGATTCATTGTGAAACTGGGAAACATCCTTCCCCCAATCTAGATAGTATTAATAGAACCAAATGACTCCTGAGGTCTTCCTGTTTGCTAGATTCTTTTGGTCTGAATCTCTTTCCCATGCCAGTGGAGAATCAAGAGCAAGAGCACTACTGATAAGCAAGGCATTGGATTGCACACAGCAAGTGGGTATGGAAAGTGGGGAAGAGGTTGGTAGAGGACAGAGAAAGGAGGTAGGGAAAGTGTGGGGTCCTGGTGCTAAAGCCAGTCCCATTTTACCCCTGTCCTGATGACATCAGGCTTCTAATGTAGCCATTCAGGACTTCTGGTTGCAGCTTCAACGTGTAAAGGAACCCTACTCAGAGGTTATCTTGACATGAGGCAGAGCAGGAAATTGAAGGGGGAGAGGGGATTCTTATTGTGCCTTTTGGCACCAGGGCTGACGAGTCAGAGGTAGAGGTAGTAATTTTGTGGGAGAGGCTTAAGATAATTGTTATGTGTTTTCACATGTCTTTTACAAATTTTCAGTTCAGGCATGTGAAAAGTTGGGTTGGCCCTTACATTTACTGTGGCCTTGAATTCCATAGTCTTGTTCAGTTACATCTCACTGGAAAATTAGTTCAATGTCTTTTTCTTCTATCATAACACAGATTTTCTTAGGCACAGTGTATTCTTTCACTTATTTATTTATTTTAACAAATAATTATTGCTATGTACTGGCACATCCTGGGTGCTGGGGATGTGGTGGTGATTATAGCTGCCTTTGTAAAGTTTACAATCCCATGGGGGAAGTGTACAATTAAACAAGTCATGACAATGAAGTGCATTAAGTGTTATGATAAGCAAAGCAAAGGAATGAAAAGCTGAAACATCAATCTTGTCTATTTATTCACTTTGGAAATTGGGAATGATCAACAAAAACCTACTTTGTGGGGCTAGCATGAGAACCAGCTGAAATCATGTGGTTAAAATGCTTTGCAAAGTGTAGTGACTCTTAGATGTACCTCCTAGTCAAATGCCTTATCTAAATAATTTACATGTTGCAGAGAAAGACTTAGAAGAACACCCCTCTTATTTTGAGAGCCCAGACTGATTCCGCAGATACCAGAGGCCACCCAGGGACCAACCATCAAGAGCTGAACAAAGACGCTATACTGTGAATATACATGTTACTCCCCATGAAAGCCCTGCCCCACTAGGTATCTGTGTTCCATAGCAGACCATAAGGCCACAGGCAGGAGACAGCCAAGTGCAAGGGACAAAAAGGGCAATGCCCTACAGGTCTCAGCTCACCAGGAACCTGCCAGGCTCACTTGCACTCTCCTGGCTTCCTACCTTGCCTTACTCAGCACTTCTCACAGTTGTAATCACTTATTTGGGTAGTCATTTTCATCAGTCTCTCTCTCCCCTAGTAGATAGCATGCTCCACTAGGACAGGGCCCAGGGCTATCTGCTCACCACTGTACACTCCAGCCCCAGCCCAGGACTGTCAAATAATGCTGCTCAACTGATACTGCCTGAATGAATGACAAAACGCATGCTACTTACTTTGACTTATACCATTTGGGAAGTACAATTTTCTCTCTGAGCAATAGTTTCCACTTGACCTCTCTCAATAATGAAATTCCTACAAATCTATTCCTGGGAGACAGGAGAAGCAGGCTGAGGCAGTCACCCGGAAGTGAAAGTTCAGGTTGAAAGGTGTCAGGGTAGTCACCTGGGGTCCCTTTCAAGTGCCTAGAGCAGAAGCTTCTAGAATCTTGCAGCCCACCTCAGGCCAGGAAACATTCTCAGAAATGAGGGAGACACAGCCTTTTAAAAAGTAGGCAGCGTGGGGAGGCAGCTGGACTCAACTCCCTGAGATAGTGAGGTCCTTTCTCTCAGGGCATCTTGCCAAAATCTCTGTTATGTCCTGCAAGGAAATAAAAAATACTATCTCTTGACTTCTGGTGCCTGTTTTTATGCCCTGGTGTGGGAAGTAGTTTGTTTTGTTTTATTTTCTTGGGACAGGGTCTCGCTCTGTGGCCCAGGCTGGAGTGCTATAGCACAATCTCAACTCACTGCAGCCTCCACCTCCTGAGCTCAAGCAATCCTCCCATCTCAGCCTCCTGAGTAGCTGGGACTACAGGCGCAAGCTACCATACCTGGTTAATTTGTAAATTTTTTGTAGAGACAAGATCTCACTATATTGCCCAGGCTAGTCTCGAACTCCTGGGCTCAAGCAATCTTCCTGCCTCGGCCTCCCAAAGTGTTGGAGTGACAGGCATGATGAGCCACCACACCTGGCCTGTGGACAGCAGTTTTAATGGGAAGGGAGAAAATGGGAATATGTTTCAAGTATGTGTGTTTTTATCCTGCTGTCTACTGACTTCAACAGAGGCTGTAGATTTTGAAATCTAAACACAAGAAGCCTCTGTCAAGAGGCAATGACCTAACATTTTGGGTATCACTCCATGTCCACATGAAGAATATCCTTGACAAAGAGCAGTTGTAGCATAGTAGTGGTAAAAATAACCATTCTCCTAATTTTCAACTAAATATAACTCCTAATGTCTAAAGCACTATAAGCTAGTCAGATTTTTTTGACCTTCAAAAATATCAGTTTGAAAAGCAATATTACCTGTAACATACAAAGTCAGTATTAACTATGACATAAGATATTCTGGACTGCTCTACAATTACTTGTTTTATCACTATCTTAGAATTCTGAGTGTTCCAATCTTTCCCATTGTGGAGTGAAGGGAGAATAAAAGAAATGGGATTTACTTCATGCATTTTTCTCTGTAACAAAGTATACATTGTGTATGTGGTGAAAAAAATAATGCCAAAATAGTCTTCAATCTAGAGACAGAGCCAGGCCTGGTGGCTCACGCCTGTTATCCTAGCATTTTGGGAGGCCAAGGTGGATGGATTCCTTAAGCCCAGGACTTCGAAACCAGCCAAGGCAACATGGCAAAACTTCTTCTCTTAAAAAAAAAAAAAAAAATTTGGGCATGGTGGCATTCACCTGCAGCCCCAGCTGCTCAGGAATCTGGGGTGGGAGAATCAGCTGAGCCCAAAAAGGTCGAGCCCGGGAAGGTGATGGCACTCTAGCCTGGGCAGCAGAGTGAGACCCTGTCTCAAAAAATAAAATAAAAATATAAAATGAGACTCAGAGAATGAGTCTAATAAGCAATGAAGAATATTGCAGCCTTTTGGTTCAGGTAAACCTTCCAGGGGTACACAGAAGGATGGAGGGAAATTTAGGTTAGACAACTGGTTCCCAGATGTTTTTGCCAAGCTGAGGCATGAGAGTGGACTTGTTGACAAATGAACCCTTCGGTAGACAATTACCCAAGGAAAAACTGTTACCGATGAGGAAATGACAGTGGCTTAGGAGGTACAGTGTAGAGAAAGGGACACTGGGCCAGAAGAAATAGGTTAAAATTTGAACAAGTAGGGGAAGGAGAAGAGAGTTTAAAGGCCAAAATCATGCCCATTATGGTTCCTTGTCAAACTTTTTCTAATGAAACACTAAGATGACTATCTTGTCTGCAAGTTTTATTCACTCAAGAATATCAGAATCAACTTCACTTTCCCCTAAGAGAGGCAATTCATCAAATCTCTGTCCTACACATCTTAACCAGGAGACAGACTAGGTCAGGCCCCTATTATGCTATTTTAAGCCCTGTGAATGTTTCCTTCATAGCACTAAATAGGGGTTATAATTTGAAATTTATGTATGAGGCTATTTGATGAAGGTCACCCACCCCTCCCCCTCCCCCGTAAACTACAGGTTAAGTATCTCCTATCTGTAATGCTTAGGACCAGAAGAGTTTCAGATTTCAGGTATTTTTGGATTTTGGAACATTTCCATACATATAATGAGATATCTTGGAGATGGGACCCAAGTCTAAAGAAAATTCATTTATGTTTCACATGCACCTTATATACATAATCTGAAGGTAATTTTATACAATATTTTAAGTAATTTTGCACATGACTCAAAGTTTTGACTGTGTTTTGAGTATGACCCACCACATGAGGTCAGATGTGACATTTTCTACTTGTGGCTCATGTTGGTACTTTAAAACTTTCAGATTTTGGAGCATTTTGGATTTTGGATTTTCATATTAGGATGTTCAACCTGTAAAAGTTTCCCAGAGGCAAAAGTGTGTCTTCTTTTTTTGTAAGCCCTTAGTTTCCAGTGTCTAGCACAAGGCTCAACACATTGCCTGGCATGTAAGAGACACTCATTTAGTAACCAAATGAATAAATGTAGTTTCACTATCCTTCCCTTTTTTCTCTTATTTTCATCTTCCTTCCCTAGTCAATATTTTCTGGTTTTCCTCTACTTTATTTTATTTCATTTCATTTTCAGATCAAAATTATAATTCATCTCAACTCTTCTGCGCAATGGGTTCTTTTTGTCAACAGCCCTGCATAACACTAGGAGTAGCCTCCTAGGCCTCCAAATTTCTTGTGTCTCTAACCCATAAAACAAAGATTGGGAACCTTAGAGATTGTTAAACTAACAATCTCCTGGAAAAGTCAGAGTATAGTGCTGTGATTAAAAGTATAGACACCAGAGCAGGATTTGAACTGTACTTAGATAACTTACTAATTGTGTGCTCTTACACGAGTTACTTAACCTCTCCAAGTTTTAGTTTCCTCAACTATAAAATGAGGATAATAATAAAATCAACCATCTCAGCCAGATAGAGTGGCTCCCACCTGTAATCCCAATACTTTAGGAGGCCAAGGCCAGAGGATGGCTTAAGGCCAGAAGTTTGAGACCAGCCTGGGCAACACAGCCAAACCCTGTCTCTACAAAAAATAAAATAAGATAAAAATTAGCCAGGCGTGGTGATGTACACCTGTAGTCCTAACTACTGGGGGCGCTGAGACAGGAAGATTGCTTGAGGCCAGGAGTTTAAGACCAGCCTGGGTAACATAGCAAGACCCCCGCCTCTACAAAAAAAAAAAAAAAATAGAATAAAATAAAATT